GTGAGAATTAGTCATGGCTACATATTTTTGGCCAGCACTGTAACGGGGTCACACAAGATGGTGTGATCACACAATGATGTAAATCAAACAATATATTGTGACCATACATTAGTGTGGTTACACCATAACAATAAGAAAACAGTACATGGCTGGAACAGCCAGCAGTTATACATTTAGTTAGGTTTTACTATCTAATTCGGAAAACCTATAGATTAGATATAGGCGGATTTGCCACGGATAAAAACAAAAAGTACAGCTTATATTCTAAACGGAAGAGGCAACTCGCTTTGGGTTGAGGTTGTATTTACTCTTGGAGCAAACGAATCGCGGGGATAGCTGTCTCCAAGCTTGGGGGCCGAACGCGAGAATGGGCACTTACATGCGGTGAAAAAACAAAAAACACATATTATCAAACAGATCGATATTCCAAGTCCTTTAAAGGCGTAGACGCAGAAAATCTCTTTTTCTAAATTTAGGATATTGAGATGGCTCCTTGCATCACTCTTGATGGCAGGTTAAAGCTGCGTTCACCTGCTGGAAGGAGATAAGGCGTTAGTTTCTAAGAGTGTTCTCGCCGCCTAACCAGGCATATCGCGTGCAATCGCCTTTCCTTGCTGCCCGACAGGGCAAGAAGGAGTTGGTGGACTTTGTCCAAGAGTTGTGAACTCTAATTTCCGGGATGGCCGCAGATCCTCCGCCCAAGGCGATCGCAGTGGCCGTCCTTACAGATGGCCTATGGCCTCTGCTGGTGTGACCAGAATAGAAGTCTTCCGTGTGCATCCGTCTTCATTCGAAAAAGCAGTGAATGTGGTATTGAATGCCGAATTCAACTTTGGGTGGCACGACTTGATTGTATTGCACACCCTCGCAGCTCGTCGAGCGGACCTGAGCCAACGGATCTCAGCAATGCTGAAAAGGAGGAGGGAGAGCTCCGAGCTGCTGAGCAGCGTTCGAACACCCGACGGTGTTTTGTACCAGTCATCTTCTAATTGGTTGCAAGGCGCTTCAAGGTTCATCTCACCGACGTCTTAGTTCTTACCAGTCATCTGATTTGTCGCCGGGAGCCCTACTGGGGAAAAGCTGACTTTGGTTGAGCCTCAAAGTAGTAGAACAGAATGTGTATGCAAGCCGGGCTTGCTGGTCGTGAAAGCAGCCGTGAAGATCTTTGAGAAGCCATGGAAGATCCTGACCGACTCGGGGGCGCCGGGCAATTATGCTCGATGCTCCACGATGGAAGGAAGTCAGCTATATGCTGAGGCGCAGAAGGCGCGGTTGAGTGACATCGTCTCTGTTCGCTTAGCGACAGGGACATGTGTCACGTTGCTAAAGGTCCTTGTAGACCTCGGAGTCAAGTTTCTTGACTTTGATAGCGTGGAAGCTTAGTCTAAGGTATGACCTCACCCTTGGTATGGCATGGCTGGAAAACCATGATCCATGGATCGGCTGGAGGTCGAATACCTTGGGCGCACGTCTCCCGGTGGAGCTTTGGTGCGTCATGAACCAACCTCTGCTAGGAGGCAAAACGCTATTGGCGCGGGCACTGGACCGAGACGGTCAACGTGCTAGAGATCGGAGCATCCGAACTGGTGAACACCGGAAAGCTTTAAGGCGGGAGACCTGGTCTTATTACACTCTAGAAACCTTCCTACACATGCAGCCTCTGCAATCTTCCGGACGAAGCTTCGTCCACGTTTTATTGGACCGTTTAAGGTTGTGGCCAAGCGGGGCCTA